TACCCTAATTTTCTTAGCATCTTTTTGCCAAAAATCAAGTTTTATAGCAAGTACCCCCAAATACAAAAAGTTCATTTTTTTTTTTTTGGACGAAATACCCTTACCTTACATAACAAATCATTTTCGGATCCCAATAAAAGGAAATGCCGGACCGCGGTTGTATATTGTCGGACCCATCCATTCTACTAAACCGGAACTGTACACTGTCGGGCCACCTATTCTAGACACACTTTTCCAATTTGCCAAACCGTAGCTCACAAATGCCGGACCGCCTCTTCCAAACGCCAAACGCCGAACACCCATGGTGAAGTGTCGGACCACAATGGTGAAGTGCCGGACTGCCATGGTCAACGTGTGAGGTAAGGGATGGATTTAGTCTCTTTTTCTTTTTCTTTTTTTTTCTTTTTTTTTTCTTTTTTTTTTTTGAGTTGGGGTATTTGCTAGAAAACATGATTTTGAAGAAAAAGTTGCTAGAAAAAATTTAGTTGGGGATAAATTGCGTCCATTTTTGGGGTTTTGTGCAATTTTCCCTTCTTTATACCATCCAAATCTCCATACTTTTGCACCATGAACGTAGCAAATCTTCTGTGTTTCATGTGATAAAGTTTCTCTTTTCAAACTTAAATATGAATCCTCTCTATAATCACGGGTGAACCGTGCATCAACTCCATTGTAAAGAAACTTCTTTCAATTTTCTCACAAGGAAATCTTTCCTTTCTTCCTTCTTCGGGAACTTTGTCCAAATGGAAACCTTTAGGGATAAGATATTGCGGGGCACCTATAAATAACTCATGAAACACAAAAGAAAAATCAGGAGCACTAAGATTGTGGCAATGTCAATTGAAACCTTAGCCATGGCTGGAGTCGATTATGCATCTATAAGCTTAATTGTGGTGAGGAAACAACAATTGCCTCCAGAGTCCATAGTAGACGGGAGGTCAAAGTGTGATGTATTCTGCATTGATAAGACGCTCTCTGGTGATGAGAATCAAATGAAGGCACAGTTGGTAGCTTGGGTCAAGGCTGTTGCTTGATGTTCCTATTCTTCCTCCTTGGGGTAAAGCTCAGACAATGCTATCCTGTCCAAACCAATTGAGAAAGACGGGTGGTGGGGGGGGGAGTGAACTGCGCCAATTAATTTGTGGCTAAAAATTCTCTGCAGCACATGATCCATGCAAAAACACATAAACTTGATTCAAGCAAAACGAGCAATTGAAAAGAAGTTTTTTTCCTGTATTTTTTTTTTTTCTCACTATTGTATTCATCTCGAAGTGTATGTACGTTAGACTCAAATTTTACGCTGTGATTTATAGATTAGTTGTGTGATTGGGTACAAGAAATCATAACATTTCAGTTATATTTGGACTTTCCTTGAGCTTTTTCAGTTCCAATAGTGCCATAGTATCATCAAAGAACTATCAAACCCCTCTCTACTTATTCTTCATGTCTTTTGAATTTTTATTTTGTTTCTGTGGCATGTTGAACCAAGGTATTCATTTGCAGCACTCTAGGTTGCAATTGTTTGCTGAGATTCATTCTTGCATAGATCCAGAAATACTAGTAGCACTGTGATCTGTTGTGCTACCTTTAGCCATGTGCGCATTTTAGGAGCATATGGAGCAAGTTTTCACCATTTATGTAGCATGCTATTCCATTGCTGCAGTTTGAGTAGCAAATTGTTCTTCGTCCTCAATATTATTGCATATGTCACCTTGGGTTGAGTGCTGCTTTGTGGTGTTACTTTTCTGTATTGATAAGACGCTCTATGGTTGAATGCCATGAGAGACATTTATTTGCCCCCAATAAACTTAGACCTTTTAGTAAGAACTCGGCCCATGTTGTCTGTCACCCATGTTGTCTATGTTAGACTTTAAGAACGCTTTTAGACGCTGAAACATAAACCTCAAAAGTTAGACCCCACCATGATCATCTACTTAATTGGCTAGAAATAAAATCGGTGAGAATACAAACCCATACTATAAAAAATGAAGCATAAAATCCACACACCACCTATTGATGTTGTGGTTTCTCATCCTACTGACACCTTCAAAAAAGCTAATTTCCTAGTCTATACGAAAAAAAGAGTAGGTGCATGTCTTCTCTACTGAATTACCCAAAAAATAAAACTTTCCAATTTTTTTTGCCAATATTACTCTTTGTAATTCTTGTTGAAGAATATCATGTTCACCATCACATTTCTCCTCTATAAACTACACAACTCAGCATATTTCGCTATGTACTTTTATGTTTCAATGCACCAACTCTAACCTCGCATTGAACCATGTGCACTGATTTCCCTTGTTAGGATATAAAAAAACTCACCTACGGAAACAAAAACCTAAAAAGTTGGATCCCACCAGGATTGTGTACTAGAAAAAAAACATCAACAACGTGAATCATATTTGAACCAACGTATTTATCTGCATATTTTTGGGACAAGATTCTCTCGTTGCTGTGATGTGAAATGTATCGTGTAGCCTCCTAAGGGAGCTTATCCTTTAATAGAAGGTTCAAATTGTTGTTGAATCGGACTTTAATCTACATTATTTTTCAGTACTTTCACTGTGACACAAGATTCTGAAACTCAGCTCGGGACCTACTGAGCCGAGTAACACAGGCGAGTCCAAGTGGAGTCGCCCAAGTAGTACACAGGGCTAAAAAAAAGCGCCCTAAAACATTAAGAACTTTTAAAAAATGTTAAATATAAAAAGGTGTGGTTCGGATAACGTTGGAACCTTAAACAATCCAATTAAGGGCACCCGCTAATTTTATCATAACAAATTTTATCATGTAATTTTGGTGTAAAATTTCTTAGGATTATCTGAAGAAAAAAGTTTATATAAAGATGCAACCTTATAATGTAGAGCTATGGATGCACCTCAAAAATCCTTCCGAAAAGGTAGTTTTAATGTTGAAATACCCTTTGATTGATCATCTCGACATCGAGATGTATGACCATGAAAAATAAAAAGATTTTAAGTCTCCGAAATAGTGCATTTTACAACATATTATCTACACCGTCCATTTTCAAGATTTTCATATGTTTATAGATCTACTTGATTTTAACCATTTTTGAAATTTAAAATTTATAATTAGATATAAAAATAGATTTTGAGATAATCTTAAGTACATTTTACATCAAAATTATGTACCATGATAAAATTTGAAGTTGCACCTTACCTCTACAGCTACGAATGCATCCGTATAACCAACTGCACCCTTATCTGCAAATATATTTTTATCTCTAATTATAAAATCTTTAACAAAAAAAAAATTATTCAAATCAAGTAGATCTACAAAAATATGAAAATCTTGAAAATGAACGGTTTAAATAATATGTTGCCAAATACACTATTTATAGGACTAAAAAAATTCTTTTTTTTTTTTTTTTTCATACATCTTGATATTGAGATGATCAATTAGAAGGTTTTTCAACATTAAAACAACTTTTTTTCCGATGGATTTTTTGAAGTGCACCTTTAATTCTTCATTGTAAGGTTGCAACCTTATATAAACTTTTTTCAATATAAAATAAAATACTAAAATCCAAACTAAACCAAAATCAATGCAAAAGGATCACTAGATTTAGAAAAATTGATTTACAATTAGAGATGTTTAAAAAACCATCAAATAAAGAGGTGGAAAAATAAAAATATAGAGCACATGATTCAAAAAAAAAAATCACAAATCACAAATCATCATCAAAAAATCCAAATTACGTCAAAAAATATTTATCAATTGATTAAATTTTGTTATTATTTTAGTTTTTTTTAATTAAAACTATCTTGTAAACATGTAATTGGGCTCGATCATTGGAAAATGGAAGGTTTTTCTAGTTTAATGCAAAATTGCAATTAAAAGCTAGGCTGATTTTGGAACCCTTACCAAAGTTTTTTTTGATACGGGGATTGTAGAAACGAAAAATAATCCACGAAACAAGAAAAAAACATCAAACACAAAAGAAAGAAAAAACTAACCATAACGTAAAGATATACGTAGTTCGGCAACGTGCCTACGTCCACGAAGATATGAGAGCTTCTTTACCGGCAATAGAAAATAGGGTTACTATAGCTCTCTTCCTCATGCCTCTCTCTGCTTTCGTATTACAAAGAAATCTCCTTTTTTCCTTAACCCTAAAAAAACCCCGTCGCAATAATATATAGTCCCAAACAAATGGTACAAATTACCAAAATACCCCATGTACGGATACAAAAATTTGTGGCCTCAATTATGGAAGAATACTAAAAATGATAAATATTGATCCCTATTCAGCCAAGCTCAAGCATTTTTACCTTACTTTTCAATGGTATATTCAGTTAAGAAAAACCTTGGACCACCGGAAAGCTCTTTTAGTTCCATATATCATGGGTAAGTGGATGCGTGGCAAAATAAGAAGGGTTGAAATTCAACATGAATACATTCAAGAAAATTTATATACGGAACCAATTAACGATAAGATGAGATAAAATAAACTTAAGTAGGCTGATCATATGCTACACAATCCTAGTACAATACTTGTTAGGATGTGCGAGTTAGTTTTAATAGACAGCTCAAAAATAACATGGGATAGGACTAAGAGGACATTGTTGAAAATAGTAAAAGACTATATAAAGATGTATGGCCTTACAAAGGGTATGGCCCATAATAGATCATAATGGCAAACTAAAATTCACATAGCCAACCACAATTAGTGGGGAAAAAATAGGAAAGAATTTTTCTGGACAAATTCTAGTGAAGTTTGAATACACGAAGTTATAATGTACAGAAGCCATCCTGCAATGCATATAAGGCTTATGTTAGTACATTTCGTACATAGGAATTTCGAGCTTGAGAATGTTTTGAAGATCCTACTTCGTAATCGGAGCAAGATAGCAAATTGTTATCATGATATACAAATGCGTGCAGGCAATTGTCTGATTGTCGAGATTCCATTATATCACACAGCCAGATTCTTTCACCAAATACAAAATTCAAGTATGTATATTTTTTTATTCACCAAATACAAAATTAAAGTATGTATATATTTTTAACCAATTCCTGTAAAGCAGTTGGAATCATAGTACAAACCACCAAATGCGATAGAAAACCCAAAAGATTAAGAAGCCAATTAACAATATAACCAACTTAAACTTGGAAGTGGAAGTGGAAGTGGAAGCCCTTGGCAAGCTCAAAAAAAGCCAAATGTTCCACAAGCACTTTACAATACAAACATGGAAAACAAGCACGTATAGTGATACAAGCATGCCACATTCGATCGCAAGTACATATACATCATAACAGACGAGTATACATATAACTATCTTCCTCCAGAGAGCTGTACGGCATCCTGATTATATACTGAATCTTCAGCCCAATCAAATCTACTGTGTAATCTCTCGTACTCCTGCCTTCGAACTACTTCAACTTGCTGCCACTCCTCCCATCTTTGGGCCAAGCCCTCCCCTTCAAGCATGCGTACAACTTCTGCCATCTTTGGCCGTTCCTCTGGAGAAGATTGGGTGCAGAGCAGGGCAACCTGGATCATCGTCTCCACTTCACGGCTGTCATAGTTCTGCTTCAGGTTGCGATCAACAATGGCATCCAGCCGCTTTTCTCTCTCCAACTTTTTCACCTTCTCAGACACAAGAGAGCTAGTCAAGTTTTCCTAATTAGGGATGATAAATATCATGAGGTTTGAAATGATCAACACAATATTTATCTCTAACTGCTGCAGCCAAGGCATCCATAAGGAAACAAAAGATGAGTTGTCAGCACCAAAGTTAGCAAATCGCCGTTTAGTCAGCGATTTTTTAAAAAAATCGGTGTTTTTATGTAAACAGTTTTAAACAACGATTCTTTGCAAAGGTCGGGAAAAAGTCACGTAGTTTTCATAAAACGTTTAAAACGCGCTTTTTTCATAATACGATTTAAATCAGGCCAAAAAATCGCATCTTTTTTTACCTATATTTTTTTTTTTGAGAGATATTTTTTTTTTCCTGTTTTGTGTATTGCAGCCATTGCTACTTTCATGCTTTTGAAAAAAAATATATTATTTCAAAAAATAAAACCTTAAAATAGAAATTTTTATCCCCACTATGTTCTTCAAAGCCACAGTTGCAGATTGAAGGAATGAATTTTTTTCCCTTGTTTTTTAAAACTTAAACAAATAGATGGAGATTTCAGTGTTATTATAGAAAATCATTGTGTAAATGAAATACTGTTTATAGCAAATCATTTTGTAAAGTAAATCATTGTGTAAAAAAAATCATATACATGCAGATTTCTTTGATTATTTGTGATAATTGTTTTTATGAAAATACTATTTATGGCACAAATTAGAGCTCAAAACATAGTCTTTTACTGATGAATGAGAAGCCGAGAGTGTGACTACAGGAGCAAGTAATCAATATTTTGCTTTTGATTATGTGATAACAAAGATAAACAGTATAGTGTAAATTGTAAATTTACAGGAGCAAGCAATTGTACATATAGGATTAGTTCCCCAAACCTAATCCTTCAGCTCTGCTTGATGTTTCCCCAAGAAAATGGAAAACCCTCATCCTTTTCTCTCTCTAAAAATCAGTTAAGGCCTCTTGACAAATCAGGCTTTCTCTCAAACAACATCCCAAACATGCCAAATCAGAGAGAAAAGCCCCTTTAAAACTATCCCAAATCACCATCCCATCTTCCTTTTCTCTTTCTAAAAATCAGTTAGGGCCTCTTCCATTAGGGTTTGTGAAGTCCATAACCTCTTCCTTCTTCCTTCTTCACTCTCTATAAACCCTGGCTATGAGCCCAACCCTATTTTCTTCTCTTCCTTCGTCCTCCTCTCTCTAAACCATAACCTTCTTGTCTCTCTCTTCCTTCTTCCTCCTCTCTCTAAGCCGTAAACACAGAGATATGAAACCCAAATTTCTACGAGCCTCTTTCAATTAAAGAAATTCATAAAACTTTAACCATAGTTATGGAGTGACCATAGTCACCATACAATAATAAAATCCTTGTAATGAGAAAACAAAAATCGTGGATTTTTTTTGTACCTGCCAAGTAGGTGTGAAGTTTAAGTATCTAATGAATAAATTCATATAGTATATTTGTCACCATACTATAGTTAAAGTATTTAATTAATAAATTTATATAGTATATTTGTTTTTGGTATGTAATAAGTAGGTGTGATGTTTCTTAAAGTATTTAATAGGTAGTTAATTATGTATTTAATATTAGATGATTGCATGAGAGTCACGAGGCATCTAAATTAATTGACTTAAGTATATTAGTCTGGTGAAGTTTTTATAGATGAATTAGTTATTGATGGCTTTGACATAATTTTTATTTTTTAGAATTTCAAAATTTATAATATTATAAATTTATCCCATTTTTTGACTCCGATTGTTTGAGCCGAATCTGATATATTAACGATATCTTTTTATGAAGTATTTTTACCGATCCGTAGTTTTTACCCCATGTTTTCATCCGACTTTTTAAAATAAAAACGATTTGTTTCCGATTTTATAGTGAGCCGATTTATTGATAGTCCCCGACTTGCTAACTATGGTCACCACATGTAAGCGATGAAATGTATTCAATGTAAACAAATTAACTTTGGCATTAAGTTAAGGTCACAAAAGTCTCTTTTTTATCAATCTCACTCGAGCACAAGGTATAGGCAAAAAATCATCCTATTTGCTCATTGAATGTATCAACAGTAATAGATTACATGTACCAACATGAAATAGGGTAAGAATAGTCACAAAAATAGCAATATAAAAATAGTGAAATAAAAATAAGAAATATAAGGAAGCCTTTTATTTAAGTGTTCAAATATAAGAAAGTGTCTAACCCCTACATTATCCCATCATCTTTCAATCAGCACTCAGCCATATCAATATTCCAGAAGCATGAATATAGGCTGAAATCTGTCTATAATTCAAAAGAAAACACATCAAGTCCAGCAACTTACATGATCAAGCAGTAAGACATCATCTTCTTCCTCAAGGCGTGAAAAGTCAATTGCACGTTGTCCTGTAACAAGTTCCAGAAGCATGATCCCATAACCAAAAACATCAGTCTTCTCTGATGACTTTCCAGTGGATAAATATTCAGGTGCTATATGACCCATGGTTCCTCGAACTTGTGTTGTCACATTTGTTTTCCTAACATCCACCAATTTCGCAAGGCCAAAGTCCCCAACAACTGCTTCAAAATCTTCATCAAGTAAAACATTAGCAGCTTTCACATCACGATGAATGATCTTGGGGTTGCAATGTTCGTGTAGGTACTCAAGCCCACGAGCTGTGCCTAAAGCAACTTGCTTTCTTGATTGCCAATCCAACACCTTCTCTCCAGGTTTAATATCTGCAATACCATCAGTAATGCAACCATAGAGTGAGACCTAAGGCAATCACTGCTGACAAAAGAAAGAGGACCATAGATATGCAATAACAGAGGCAAAAACTCAGGTATTAGAAAAAGAACTTTAATCGTGACTCCTAAAATCTTATAACGAATTTAGTTCAAAGGAAAAACCACATCCAGTCTTTAAGAAGACTCGCATTGGGAGATGTCCGAGTGTATTTCGCAAATGAGATCAACATTAAACAAGAACTGTCCGCATAAAAAATTGCATATTGAGAAGACAAAATGATAAACTACTTAAACCACAATGAACAAGAGAATAGAGTACAACTGATTAAATAAGATAAGTGGGACTTTTCCTTCATAACCAACAAAAGTTTCCCTTTTAGGATATTGGTAGGACACAAGAAGGTTGTTATGCTGAAGAGGCTACATTCATAACAAATTTCAAAATTTATAGGAAATGCCACCAAACATACCATGTGCCTCAGAAAATTAAAAACTACCACACTATTCTACATTCTGTATCAGTCATAGACAGCAGATCCAGAAGGATGCAGTAGCCAATGACACCATGTTGAGATTTGCAATACAAACCTAAGTTCATGATAAACAATATTTACATGTGCAATCAAACTTGCTTTCTGAATTTGAAAACCATAGTTTTTTTCTGTTAGTTATTTTGAATTCCATAAATTTTGGCATGTTTCCTAAATTTTGTCATGCCATACTAGGGGTCATGGACTCAGGTTTTAATTTTGTAGCTATAGAATTTTGATCTCATAAGTCATAAACTGTTCATAACAAAGACATCAAAATGAGTGACTGACGTACTCTTGGAATCTAAAGAGTTCATTACAATTTTCCAAATTGCATGAGGAAACAACGGAATGGAATTGAAGTGACTTAGTTATACAATCAGACACATGCATCATGATCAAGGCAATGATCTCTCAGGAAAGTTAAAACCAGAGTTAAAAAATGTGAAGCATAGATCTCGAACATTATCATCTGAATGGTGACAGTTGACAATGCACAAGAATAGGCTAATGGTTTTATCATAAAGTATATATTTTGTCCTCATCAAAGAAACAAAACCTCGTAGACGATAGGCAACACTTAGGTTTTGCATGAAGGGATAAACAAGCAGCCGTTCAGATGGCGTTGTACAGAATCCTATCAATCTCAGAATATTGCGATGATCCGCCACACTGATCATCTCAACTTCTCGAAGAAATGCTGCCTCTCCACCTGGACTCTGATAATCTGTGAGGCGCTTCACTGCAATTTTTGTGTTATCTGGAAGCACTCCCTTGTACACCTTACCGAAACCTCCCTGTCCAAGTACATTTTTCTCACTGAAGATATCAGTAGCGAGTTGTAACTCACGCCATGCAAATCTTTTTAACTGCCCAAATGCAATCTTACGGTCATCTTCACCTGAGCAATCGACATGGAAACAATGAACATTACAAGAATCAAAGGTCCCTACTACAACATATCACAGACCATGCCAAAATGCTCAGTCTCAGAGTGTCATTGAATACCCAAAAATATCATGGAAAATACTCTCACGTCTCAAAGCAAAGAAGGAACAATACAAGGCATATGCATCTAACTCCCATAACTTAGGAATATCAAAAATGCATTGTCGATGCAAATAGAATTTTATTTATTTTTGGCTGATGCAAGGAAAATATTTTACAGGAGAAAGTCATCATATCTAAAAGCAGAGGGCAAGTGTGTAAAAACAATCATCCCTGGACTTTATATGGATACCCATTACTTGAAAAGCTCTAGCTCTAAAAACTAAACATTATTTCATCATGTTTTTTATCCGTGAATACAGCAATTTTTTTTTCTTGCTAAGTAAAAGGGAGGTATTAAAAAAAACATGCACCCATCATGGGGCTAAAACTCATGATCACAAAGTTAAGAGCCTCAGGCTCTACCAACTGAGCTAGATGTCAATGCAGAAAATTGGAAAGCCAGTATCGCCAATATGACAGATGTGATTGCGATCACCAATATCGCAGTTTCGTTGGAGAGAACTTTCAGAGAGTCACCGTGGAAGAGGCAAAGGTGACCCTCATTATGTTCGATTTGGGCTTCTATATCCCTTTTCTACGTGGAGACGGCCTCACAGTGGAGGGCAAAAGCCAATGCTCAAAGACTTCTGAGCTAGATTCTGAAGGGAGGAGTTCACTTGCTCCACATTAACTTCCAGGAAAATACAACGTCTCAAGAATGAGGTTTCAAATTTCACCTTGCCTTTTTCCAATTAGCCGATTTTGCATGGCTATGGAATACATCAAAGAAGGCTGAAATGGATCTAACATCGATGAACAGGCCCTGCCTCCCGACCCTCCTCTTCCAAAACCCCACTTTATGGGGGACAACTGAGAAATCAATAGTTCTTTATCAGTAAGTAATTTCTTGAGGAAAACATGGTTGTTAAGTCCCGCTTCTGAGATACTTTACTTATGGTTTTTGGAATATATGGTGAGAACAGATATCACTATGGCAGACACTCCATACAAGGCAGGTCTTACTAATGATTTTTGGGATACAAATGGCCAGATAAAAGCATGGCAAATACTCCATGTGACATAGGCCCTAAAACCCTTATATAGGTTTACTCCATGATGAAACTGCATTAAAGGTCGGCCCCAAAACCTTCTAGAGGGTTTGTGAAATAATTGATAAGAATTCAGCCCCTTCAATGGTGGTTAGAGAAAAAAGAAAAATGGCACTAACATTCCAAGGTTTGAACCATAGCCTCCAAAAGAAAAAAAAAGAAAAAAAAAAAATTCTCCATCAAAATAATTAAAATACAATAAATATGTTGAAGGTAGGCTTCATTTCGGAACGGCATTAGGTTATGAAACCAATGGATTACCAGTACAGCTCGAATGAACATTGAAAGAAGAAAGGAGGTTCCAAACTCTTCCCAAATAGAAAGCGAATCGCAACTTATGAGCGGCATTTTGCATTCCTACGTGGATGTGATTCTGTGTCCCAAAATACCTAGGATTGACCGCCAAAACAATCTCATACATTACGTCCAAAATCAATTCTGGAAGCTCTCAATGCAGCCTTAATTTGATAGGTAATAATGAAGTTTAGGTATTAACGATTTAATCTAAAATTTTCCTAACCTTTTTCTATGTTTCTAATTTCATAAATATGAAACTGTATACTTCTAACTCATGCCTCTACATAATTCTGCATGTCAAATGACTAAATCTCTCAAATCAATTCATTCATACTTTCATTGAGTAAAGGTCTAGTTGTCAAGTTGGAGAGCCATGTGCATTACATAATCAACTGAACATAGACAACTACTACATTGTTTTTCAAGACATGATTGGTTGCCAGCATAATAGACCTTAACATTGAATTGGCATTCAAATGAAAATGCACGGCAACAAATGCACATCCACATTTGATAAAAAGGTTAGCTCCGGAGAGTAAAATAACAGCGACAAGAATGCTAACCTGAAACATCAACAAAAACTTCCCGTTTGTAACCTTTATTCCTACCCTTCCATAAGAGAAACATCACTACTCCAATAACTAGAATCACCAGCACAGCTGAAATAGTTCCAAATAGAGCCCCAAAGTTCAGGTTCTTTGTGTTTCCTGTGAAGCAAAGACAGAAGAGAGTTATTGTGTATCAGAGAATCCAAAACCAAGATGCTTTGAATTGATTGAACAAGCAAGACATGCAAAATGCTTCAAAGAGAAAAATTTAAACTCCATCATGAAGCTCTAGAAAGTACCAGAATCACTAGCACCAGGAGTAACAGATGCACATGCATGCTGCATACCAGGACCACAGTTCAACTTGTTTCCTGTAAAACTGTATAAAAAGTTCAATTAACCAAGTAAGAATCAAAGAACTGTAGAACTAGATACTAATTAGACCTAGGAATTCAAAAAGCTATATTACATGAAAAATTTGGTGCTTAGAATCATCCATAAATATAATCAAAACACTAAAAGATAGGAAAAACATTTATACTTGTATTTGGATAATTGAAACAAAGCCTCTGGTATTTTGCCACTCAAGTCATTAAATGCAAGCTGACTGCCACAAAACCCAAATTGCAGAAATCAACATATGGGTCCAATACATAAGTCTAAAATAATGTAATATGCGTGTCTGATATACTAGAAATTATCTAATGAAATTTTTTTCAATCTTTGGGAGTTCTCATCCAATTCCCTGAGCCAAACAATTTCATAGTTTCAGGAGATTACAGTTCAATCAGCTTCGGAAGATTTGAGATAGACTCAGGAATGCTTCCATTGAAGTTATTTTCACTCAAAATCCTGTTCATATGAAACAGAAACTGTCAAATAGAAAAAATAAAATAGATGAGAGATAATTAAACTATGACTTAGGATTCTTAACAGTATACCACGTACAATATTTGAAGATTAGTGAGGTTCCCAAGAGATGTGGGTATATCTCCACTTAAATAATTATTTCCCAAATCCAAGTGGGTCAGACTTGTCAAGTTCCCAAACTCATCTGGTATATTACCCGTTATATCATTCCCTTGCAAACCACTGCAGTAAAGAGTAGAGACAAAGTCAATGAATAAAGCACTAGTCACATGCATATAGTACAAACATATGTTGAAACGAAGATACCCTTGATTAGCACTAGTATATATCACTCATGGATGATACTTTAGCACTTGCTCTAATAAAACTGAGAAATGAGTATTCAGAGGGTACAATAACATATATTCCAATTCACGGATTTACAGAAATAATAAACATACACTGAAACGATGTACTAGAAGGCTATCTATTTATAAATATCCAAATTAAGGAGACAAGGCTAGCAGCCAAACAAAAAAGAAAGACTAGTGTGAAACCAGAAATACAGTCCAACGTGTATTTTCTTCAGATAAATAATTATTCACATTCGCTCTGAGTAGGTACTAATCTGCTTTGTTCTAATCATTCATATTGATGATATCGTGAAATAGTTTGAAAAGACAAGAGTTGTCTCAATTTCTTATCAAGAGCCTCAAAGATTATAATAACAATATATAATAACTATCAACATAAATTATATTTGACAAAAGACAAACATAGGTACGAAGACCACGGAAGGGCTTATGATACTAGTATCAAAATCACATAATTGCACCTCACCAATTTCTAACATTCTTCCTTTTAAGTGAACTTATTAACAATAAAAAATGAAATATAATGACAATAATTCATAGATTCAACAACAAAAAAGGGATACATAATACTATAAAAAATTACTAAGGTTCTATATTGTGCACATGTTCACCTACTAAGAATGATTTAAAAAGCAAACCCAGAGAAATTGTGTACTGAGGGTGATACATGGCCACAAGATCCAGCATGTCAATGATGCTTGCATGTCAAAATAGGTTCAATAATGTTGGCATGTGCAGGACTGTTAAGAATACATGATTCCAAAGAGGCTGAGGCAAGAGCTCTACACACAGAACATAGGCTTCCTCTCCAATAAAATGCACACGAGGTGAGGCAATGGTACCAGGGAGGGCTATGGATGTAGTACAAGAAATTTCTAAAAATAGTGCATCAACAGAAAGTGTCATTTTTTACAACCCTAGAGATGCTTACATGATATCCAACCACTTTGCCAAAATAAGGGGTAGCCAAATCAATCTTTATATGAGGGTCTCCATTACTTGATTCAGTTTTGAGGAACATGTGTTCTTGTAACTGTTGTAAAATTCTAAATATGACTAAACTTGTTTCCTGTTCTAAAGCAACCAAATATCGTACAACAAAATGAGGAGCAAGGTTGCACTAGCAACAGACGTCGGCTTTCTAACATGTTGATGTTTAAAGAAGAGAAGAACTACACTAAAAAAGTTGATACAAAGCTAAACTTTTAATTATAAAGAATAAAAACACAATGAAAAATCAATTTCCCCCAGTGTTCCAAAAAGCAGACCGCCTAGCGCCTGGGCGGCCACCTAGGTAGATCTTGGGGCCTAAGCGCATCGCCCAGGCCTAGGCGCCTTAAAAAAGTGGTGGTTCCTAGTCGCCCTCCTAAGCGGCCGTCAAGGTCTAGTGCCCGGCCCAGAGGCGTAAATTGCTTTTGGTAGGGGTATTTTTTGTCCATTTTTTTGATACTAAAGGGCAAAAAATGGGGGTTTTATGTTCATTTGAAACCTAAAACTTATTGGAACCCATTTTAGAGAGAGAAAGCCTCCAAAAAACTACTTTTTTGGTGATTTCTTTAGGATCGAAGGGTTTCTCAAAGTAATGAGAAATTGATCAAAACATCACCCATCGATATTAGATTTAATTTTTGACGTTTTATAAATCTATTGGGGGGTTTTTTAGAAGATTTTGAGTCCTTAAAAGCATCTTTGAGGTGAAAGTTTGGAGATTGAGTAAGTGATTTTTTTTTATTGCTTGTAGAAATTGCATTATTTTGAGATGTCTTCTTCGGGATCTAATAGGAGTGGTAATCCTAGTTGGAAATATGGCTACAACCCAGATCCTAATAATAAAAATTACATCAGATGCAATTTTTGTGAGAAGGATACAAAATGGGGCATAAACCGGTTCAAGGAACATCTTGCCGGCATCAAGGGAGATGTCGCCGCATGTAAAAAGATTCCTGATGATGTTAAATAGGAAATAACCAATTTTTTGAATACGGTAAAAATGAAAAACGATGAAATATTTGCCTCCTTAGTAGAGATTAGGTCTGAGGTTCGGGTCAATTATGATGATGATAATAGTGATGAGGATGGGATTGGGGAGAGATGTCAAGAGATAGAAGTAGAACAATCTATTATTAGGGGAAAGGGAAAGGGAATTGTAATTGTTTCTGGCTCTAGTTTTGGGAGTAAGAAGCCTCGGGTTAGAGGCCCTATGGATAGTTTTTTGCCTCGGCCGGACCCTGAGGTTGCAGGAGAGAAAACAAAGAAGCAAACCACCATTGAAAATAGAATGAAGAAGGACGAGAGAGATAGAGCTGCTTATTATCTTGCTACATGGTTTTATGAGACGAGCATTCCTTTCAATACCGCTCGCTTAAGCAGCTTCTATGCCGCGGTAGAGGAAATTGGCCAATTTTGGCTTGGGATGAAACCTCCAACCCCATATGAGCTTTCAAAGCCTCTTTTGAAAAAGGCGGTGAGTGTCACGAAGGAAGCTGTAGAAGTTAAGAAAGATGCATGGGCTCAGTATGGGGTTTCTATTATGACTGATGCTTGGAGTGATAGGAAGAGAAGAAGTCGGATGGATTTGCTTGTGAATTGTCCTTCAGGGATTTTTTTTGAGGTTCATTGATGCCTCTGATCATATCCATGATGCCCATTACATATTCCAAGTTTTAGAGAAGGGAATCGAGGAGGTTGGGGAGCGTCATGTTGTACAGGTTGTCACAGACAATGCTGCTCCTAATGTTGTTGTAGCTAATTTGTTGCGCATAGCTTATCCTATAATCTTTTGGACACTATGTGCAGCACATTGTATAGACCTCATGCTTGAGGCTCTTGGCAGTTTAACCGAGATATCAGGTGCAGTGAAGAAGGCAAAGTCAGTTACAAATTTCATTTATGGCCACCATCTCACCCTCAGCACAATGCGTAGATTTACAAAAAAGAAAGAGATTGTGGGGCCTAGGGTCACGAGATTTACGACCTGGTACTTATGCCTAGATAACATACATTCGAGGAGAGTGCAGTTGAGGCAGATGTTTACCTCGGATGGCTGGAGAGCATGCAAGTGGTCCAAGGATTAGGTTGGGAAGAAGGTGAGAGACATTATCCTTTTTAAGGCTTTTTGAAGAGGGGTGAAGGGTGCTCTTAAGGTATATTTTCCTCTTGTCAAAGTCCTTCGCATGGTTGATAGAGACAAGCGTTCTATGGGCAATATATATGAGGCTATGGAGAAATGCAAAAGAAAGAGACCCAAAATTTTGATTGATGATGAAAATTGCTACAAGCTTGTTTGGGAGATTATTGATGGTAAGTGGGATAGGCAGCGACATCGGTATTGCATGCAGCTGATTATTATTTGAACCTAGTTTTTTTTTATGTTGACAAGGATATACACACAAATGACAAAATTATGACAGGATTTAATAAGTGTGTAGATGTGCCGGTCCCTGATCTTGACATCCAGGATATTATCTGTGTTGATGAGCTGATAAATTACAAGAGCTCATTAGTCCCTAATCCTGATATCCAAGATATTATATACGTTATTGGGCTAATAAATTACAAGTGCTCATTAAAGTCTTTTGGGAGTCCAATGGCAATGAGGCAAAAGACCAAAATTGATCTAGGTAGTAATAATATTCTTAAGTTTATCAAGTTCAAGTAATCAAGTTTCATTTTTATAATTATCTTATTTATTTATGATTTTATTCTATATTTTTGCAGCCAATTGGTAGAGCCAACATGGGTGTAGTTCTCCAAATTTACAAAAATTGGCCATTCGGATCTTAAACCTAACCACTTCCTCATCCGGTTGTGAGTTTGAAGGGATAAGGCCGTAAGGGTAATTTGTATAATTGTATTAATAATACATGAACCATAGATTTTTAATTAGTTTTATTTGATTTTGTTAGATTCAGACAAAAAGAAGGAACAGGCTTGAATCATAAAGGCTCAATGACCTAATCTATGTCAAGTATAATCGATTCTTGAAGGACAAGTTTACTAAGAGAGATTCTTGAAGGACAGATTTACTAAGAGAGATAAGAGAGACCCCATCAGATCAAAAAACATAGACAATGCTATGGAGTGGTTAGTTGATGATGATGAGGTCGAGAGGCATGTAGGATTGACATGAGACATGGTCATGGATGCTTCAGGGACATCAACCGACCCCTCCTAGGGCCACTAGATCTTCTACACAGAGAACGAGGGTGGAAGAGGAAGAGGAAGAAGAAGAGGCAGATTCAGAAGAGACGGATGAAGACGACCAATATGTCGAGGAGGGTGACGACTTCGATGAATATGATGCCAATGCAGCTGACCCTTATTTTTCTGATGATGAATGATGAATGTTGAATAATTATTAAACTTTGAACTTTGATTGAACTATGAATGGTAGATTTTAAATTTTAATTAGATATGGATTATGGACTAATTTATGGTTATGCTTATGGAGCGTGTGCTAATGTGTAGTATACTTTGAATTTTGATGTGCCCTAAATACCTAATTCTTATATTTTAGAGAATATATAACTGTAGAATCCTTTTTGGATTTAACTGGGCCGCCCAGGTTCAAGGCGCCCACCTAGGCGTTGGGCGGCCTGGACCACCAGGCCACCTAGGACCCCGCCTAGCGCTTTTTGAAACACTGATTTCCCCACACATCATGCCCATACCATGGACAAATTCAATTAAGAAAGATCAAAGTTCCATCATGAACTTATACAACATGAATAAAATACTTAAGAACATGGTAGTAAGAACTACGTAAGTATCAAGATTACACATCGTGCCTTTATTTATAACATGATTAATATGCACATGCCATTATCCTGACTAAAGCATCCAAAGAACATAAATTAAGTGAGTTCAACATTGAAATTAGGCATTTAAATGATATTTAGTATCTGTCACAAACTGGGTGTCTATGAAGGAATGATCATCGTTTCGAATCATCTAACCATCCTTCAGTACATACAGAGTATTGAGATACTTCAGAACTCCAAGTCTCGGTGACAGGGTTCCAGATAATCCTTTGGAAGCCAATATTCTGCAAACAAGGGTAAATAATCACATTGTAATGACAGAAGTGAAGAATGAACATAACAAACCCATTGATAGAAGGGCAGCAGCAAAAAGGGCTCCTTACTACTGAGAAAGTAATTGACTTGGGCTTTGACAAGTTATTAAAGTCTAATTAAATAGAAACAGAAGCTCAGAAAGAATGCAATCATCAGCATCAGGAATACAAGAACATGCATATGAAACACAAATGCATAAAACAGCTTACACTTGAACAACATTATTGTTACGATCACAGTCAACAGAGCTCCAAGTGCATGGATTCACCAGATTTGGATTCCAATCTAAAAGCTGATTGCTGCCATTCAACGCATTTTTCAATGCAAAAAGCGCATCTCCTGATACATTTACAGATGACTAAGCAAACATCCCACTGTGCAATTAAGAATATCACAAAAAGATACAAAAGTAACTTGAAGATACATGTGACGATGACAGGTAAGCAATCGAAAAGCAGACCATTTAATAGGCATAAAGATTCACTTTGTTATATTAGATAAAAGGAGAAGCTCGAGTAAACTATAACCAATGAACAAAGGGGTCATTCATTCAGACTATAGATGCACAATTACACTGATATATTATATTTTACAAAATTGTAAAACATGTAACTTCCTTCAACACCCAAGGGTATTTTCCCACACATTCAAGAAAATTTGCTATTATTGCAATCAAATATTAATGGAAAGTCAGACATAATAGTGCTTTTACAATAGAGAAGCACGTGTATAACATTTCGATTTGCAAGTAAAAGCCTTCATGAGAGTGGAAAACCACATTTTAAGCAAAAAATGTCCATGCTTATGCAAGAGAAAAAACTCGGGCAGATCCATCAGCAGAAAGCTATCTAATGTCAAAATGGGATGCAACCCAAAATTTAGGATCCCATTCAAACATAAAAATATCAAAGAAACACAATATGAAAGAAATGTTGTAGAAATACTCAACAGTTATAGAGAACTCATAAGAAACCACAACTCACAAATCCTGTGTGACATCTGATACAAATAAATAAAGTTCTAGAACGCACCTTGATAATCTGAGGCAACTAGAGGCAGCATAGAAACTAAGAACAAAAATGCACAAGCTAACTCCATCTTCGCTGAAAATAAACAAAACATAAATTTTGAAAAGATGCAGAAGACAAGGCTTCTTCCAGACCTCATTTAGTACCCTGAAAAGAAAAAAGACAAGGAAAGGCAATAAACAAAAATAAATTGACATGAGAAACACTACAAAGCACAAGATGACCATGTATTCCAAAATCCTCAAATGTGAATAACACAATCATAAACCAGGGGAAAAAACACACTATGAGATCATAAATTATATATAATCATGAAAATAAACATTCCTAATGCAAAAACTCAGAAACATGCTCTAGAATATAAAGAAAGAATATATAGAATGCAAGTTTAGAAACGAGGAATATTGATGGCCAAGAAATACCTTTAAAAGAGAATTTTTGGTATATTGGATCGACAATCCAAGAAAATGGAGAGATTGAGGAAGATGTCGCACATAGAATTAGAGTTGGATAGGCGAAGTGGAGATGTGCATTCAGAGTTTTATGCGATCGCTGCATAGCAATGAAGTTGAACGGGAAGTTCTATAGGACAGCTGTGGGGCCAACTTTGTTTTATGGGACAGAATGTGGATGGTCAATAAACAACATACTCACACGATGAGTGTAGTTGAGATAAGGATTGAGATAGATGAGTGACAAGACAAGAAATAATAGAATTTGGAATGAATATATTCAAGGGAACTTACGTGTGGCTTCAATAGGTGATGAGATGAGGGAATATAGACTTAAGTGTGTTGGCCATATGCAGCATAAACCTAATACATCACCAGTTAGGAGGAGTGACTTGGTTCAAGTGGAATGCTCTAAAATGGCAAGGGGAGGGCCCAAAAGGACATACGTGGAAGTAGTGAGAAAAGAGACGGCGACTATGGTCTTACTGAGGGTATGACCCTAAATAGAGTAGAATGGCAGAACACGATTCGTGCAGAAACTCAAAGCAAAACTCACCCTCGATGGCCTAGGTTGGGAAGCCAAAATTAATGAAGAATGAAAGGATAAATTGAGAAGGCCCTGCATGGGATAGGAGATGGTTAAGTCATTACCAACCATGCTTCTCAAAAGATCTACCCAAAAGGACCATCAATTTTCATAGTTCACCCAAGGTAATAAATCCTCATTTCTTAAAGAGATTCTTAGAAGAAACTTACAAATGCTAACATCCAATGGATATAAACTTTGGTAGTCTAGTCATTTTTCTACTTCATTAGGTGGAAGTCAAGGTCTCCCAACTTTCTCCTTGGACATTAGACAAGCCTATAAGTTTAAAAAGAAAAAAAATATTGGACAAGCATATTCCTTTTTTTTTCTTCCTTTATTTCTTTTTGAGTTACTTAAATCGTGTAATAATGCTATCTCCTTTTATGGTGCTTTGCCATGCTTTCATTGTACAAGAGCTCATGCAAACCACTTTCCGAAAACATGACATTCACTTCGAAGTCCATTCACGACGATACAAAGTTAAATTTCTTTTCAAGATCTTCAACTCTTACCTCTATGGATTATTTGTGATTTGGACATTTTGCGCTTCAAATCAGAGTTGAAAGCCTGATGGAAAAATCAATGACAGGTTTTTTTTTTTTGGGATACAAAAAAATTGATCACAAGTTTTATTTTCCCTAGTATGTAAGGTGATTTTCTTTCCATCATAAAGTCCTAGAAAGCCTAGGTGCAATCTTTAAGAAAATTGTGACTTCCATATATTAGAAAGTCGAGAATCTTGAAATTTCACAAAGTTGCTTTTTCCTTATTTTGCAAGGTATCTTAGATTGCTAGTTTTGATTCTAGAATAAATGATTTGTGACGGTCTAGTCTAGTCTCTTAGAACTGTAAAAGAACTAGACACCTAATTCAGAAATATAGCATATTGAGAATTTTAGGAAAGTAAGAGAACTAAAGTCCCATGCTAAGTCAAGTGAAGAACGATTCAAATCTCTATAAATATTTATGTAGGCCTATGGCCAATACATCACCAGTTGATAATTAAGTTTTCTTTGGTTTAATGGTATTAATTCTATTTTGAGGTTTCTTGGTGTTGACTCTTTATACAATATAGAGTTTTCATCTTTTCCACCCATTTCTCTTCTTGTCTCTATCAATCCCACTACCCTACCCAAACCCTAAGAAAACATGAACTCGATCATCCCAAGAGCTCTTTCAAAGCCAAGAAGCCCCAACATACCTTACACATATACTTTCCTCATAGTGTTTTCCATCCGAAAACCATGAGGGGTTTTCATCCTCGTATCTTGCTGGACTGTAAATCTCTAGTAACTTTAACCTCCATTAAACCCTTTGAACCTTTTCTCTAACCCATTCAACCATCCCCATGATCCTAAATCCTTCCCTACCTTCATCGACCCCCAAATCACACACTCCTTCATCCATCACGAATTAGAAGTCCCAACCTCAAAATATGAACCTGCTCCAATCGTAATCAAAAGCTAAGCCTTAAGAACATAACCTTGCGGCCCACAATTCAACCCAAAACCCCCTAAACCTAGCCCGAGTTCTAAAGTCCACCTGCCGGTCACACTTGTGAAGGAGTCAAGCCCCTTGGTCCTACATCAAGAATGTCAGTGTGTTATATAATATACCATGAACCTTAACAGCAATTTATTATTTTGAGTACTACTTAATCTTTCTACAGCAAATGTATATGCTATAAGGGTGGTTTTGCCATCACTTAGATATTCCAGTCTACATTATCCATATTTAGATTTATATTTTAAATTTTTCAAGAAAATGAGAATTCATTGCCTACACAAGATTCAAGTCCTAGCATTAGAGCTCAATGGACTAGAGTTTGAAGGCTCAGGGACATGCACTTTCCCTGTGTTCCCTTATAGACATAGTTTTGCAACACCATCACCATATCGAGCATTTCCTTGTCTGTCAAAATATATCATCAGAATTAAGGGAAGAGAAACCCTGAAACTACACATGCACCATTTCTTGTTATAGACTTAGAGAGGGGATCTTAGCCATATTGCGGCAGGCCTTCTCTGGTTCATTCTAATTTATTGAGAAATTCCAGTCTATTAACTCATAACATGATCTTGTTCTTTTCCTCTTTTCCACAACAATAATGTCAAATATTATGTCCAAAAAAAAGAATGTCAAATATTGTGCATATATTGTATACTTTCTAGTTAAACTCCCCCCAGCTAAGGAACAGTTCTATGGGAAAAGAAGATTGTCATAAAGTGATCCTAAAACCAAGATCAGGAGAAGTGCAATGTAGATGTAAGGACATGATATACTAAATTCAAGGCGTCCAATACTAATGGCAGGAGCCCAATAACAAAATTGCGATGGGCCAGCCCCACAAGATGCCTACAAAAATTCTAATGCTCAAAAATTCTAATGCTTACACAATAATCAGCCATAGACACCAAAGAAGAAAATTATAACTTGATAGAAGACAAAATGTTTTTGAGGATTTAATTGATCCAAAGGTTCTACACCTGTCTAAAGCAGACGCCATCGTTTACAATGGTTTTCTTCATATCAGAAGGATGAGATGTTTTCTCTTATCATTCATATCCAAGACTTAGCCAACTGTGAAAATTCATCAAGAAACCAGCCCGATGAAATTGGTTTTTTTTTTTTTTTTTTGGATAATTCAGTGGGGAAGACAGGCCCCTACCCGTTTTTTTAAATAAATTAGGGAGTTACATTTTGAAGGTGTTAATTGGGGGTGTAAACGGTAGGAATGGATATCACGATGTGGTAACGTGGGGATGCTACCACCACAACCACAGCCCCTTTCCCCCAATGAAATGGGTTGAAATCCAAAAAGTACAGGCATGGACTATAATTATAAAAGTGTAAATGCTTCAAATTTCCAATACAAGATACAATTCAATAGAGCATAACAGATCACGAGAAAGAGAGACTTGCATATAATAAACATTTATCGACACATACGAGCAGCTGATATCATTCCCAACAAGACAACAGTAAAAAAACAAAACTTAGCATCTTGGTTCAAGGATGTACATCACAATTCAACAGAACCAGAGAAACATTAATCTGAAAAGCACAAAGAAGCCAACAAGCCTCACAAATTCTGTTAGAACTACTATAAATTGTGCCTATACGAAGCCACTACATAGGCGAAATTCACCATCTTCCAAATCAATCAGAAAACCCTAATTAATTAGCAGGAAGCCAGAAATGATCACAGAAGCCTCACGAAGAACAGCAGAAAACTGAATCCGAGGGGGGAGAGAGATAAGAAAAAGAGATTTTCTCACTAGAAAGAGAAAGTAATTAAAAATTTAAAATAATGGGAATATTCATGAAAGCACCTGCAAGTGATAGGAAAGCCAGCTCAGTGGAAGGAGTGACAGGGGGCCAATGGAAGGCAGTGGACCCGCGACCCTTCTTCTTCATCTCGCATTATTGAAAGAGGCAGAGAGAGATAAAGAGCGAGAGAACGGTTATCCAGATGGAGTGGTGAGACTGCCACATGAGAAAAATGCATTTAAGAGAGCGTAAACTATATTTCCACGGGAGTATATTGTGCATCTACTCCCTCGTCCAAAACATCTAGCTAGGTTGATTTTCTTGGTTTAAACTTTAAACTTTGCGAACCAAATTAAAAATGGGCATGCTTCCCCTACAACGTAACATTTATATACTTCTTTTATCCCTACAACATAACACTTATGTACTTCTTTTATCCAATCGTTCATTCTAAATGGTTATCCAATCGTTCATTCTAAATGGAGAGTTTAGATTGCCACAATCACAATGTTACGTCTCTATATTATTATTATTTTAATGTGTTTTACATAAATTATTTTAACACCAAATTTTGAACATCCAATCCTCTATTAAACTCATATTTGTAAAAAATATAAAAAAATATTTTCAATAAAATAAAATAACCAAAATACCCATAAAAGATTCAAAGGTTTTTTATTATTATATTTTATCAAAAAATATTTTTATTACTTTTTGTAGAATGAAAAAATGACACAAACACCAAATTTCATATTCATACAATTTATATATAAAAAAACTAAATATAAAATATTCTAAGGCATCGGATAGAAGATCAAATGGTGACTAACTCACTTGATCAAAATTAGACAACCGGATGTTAAGGGGAAGCACATATCTTCTATGTTCTAGGGAAGTATAGAAACTCCTAGCTTTAAATATTACTAAATGATTATTTTAAAAAAAAAAATATGAATTTTGAATTTCGCTAGGCTGAATCTAGCTCTTCAAAAACTAAACGGTCTCTATTCAACTTAAAGACACCAGTTTTTTCTACCATGTAGAGAGAGTTTACTTTAGAATCTTTTATGCTGAGATTATTCTATGGGTTGTAAAGGTTACATGCTCAAAATTTAAAATCTAAAGAGTATCCCTAGTATGTAGTTTGCCAAGGAATAAATAGTATACTCCGGCGGGAGTAGAAAATCTAGAGAGAGAAGGAGGGATTTCTAGAGAGAGAAAAACAGGGTCCATTTTAAATGTGACACACAATGGTGGAATCATTTGACAGTATATATGTCTCGGGAGTTCGGCAATGATTTACTGGTGGACCTTCCAAAAGCAAAAGAAGATAACATCGGTATGGAAAAAGAATATTTAACCTATCTCGTATGCTTTTCTTGACTTTAGACATATCTCATTATTGTCACATGCTCTTTTGTACTGAGTGGACTACTCTCTGGTAAATGGTTCTCAGTCAGACCGACTGAGAAAAGACGCTGACGTGTTATTGGACACTCGTGGGGTAAACCGTCTTTTGCCCAAATAGAGAGAGAGGGACACGGCTCTTATGAGTTCTAGGACTCCTACCCCTTTTCCAACACCCATATTTTAGATGGATTTTAGACCTAATGTTTTAGGTAGGTATAATCTCTAATATGGAGAACCAAATATGTAAAAACAAATAAATTTTTAAAAGTAAGAATATAAATTTTTTTTAAAAAAATTAAACCCTTAATTTGGCTTTTTTTTTTTTGAGAGAGACCACAACTCCACATTGATTTTTAAAATGGATGTGGGCAAAATAGTGCATCTTGTAATGCATTTTTTGGACCATTAGTTTTTAAGATTTTCAAGTATATAAATCTGCTTGATGATCCAAGCAAATAGAGAGATTGAGTAAAATGTCGTACATATAATTAAAGCTGGGTGAGCGAAGTGGAGATGTGCAATCAAAATTTTATGTATTGTCACGTATCAATAAAACTGAAAGGTAAGTTCTATAGGACAGTAATGAGACCAACTTTGCTTTTATGGAGAGGAATGTTGGGCGGATAAAAAACAATATACCTATAGAATGAGTGTAGCGGAAATGAGGATGTTCAGATGGATGAATGGCAAGACACGAAGGGATAGAATTTTAAATAAATCTATTTGAAAAATTTTAGATATAGTACCTATATGCTATAAGATGAGAGTGAGTAGACTTAGATGAGCTAGCCATATGTGGGGCAAACTTAGTGCAACCCTTGTTAGGACGTTCGAGTTAATTCAAGTAGAAAGCTCAAAAAGGGTAAGAGTTAGGCCCAAAAAATATGGGAGCTTATGACATCGCTAAGGGTATGATCCTTAATAAAGCAGAATTGCGGACCAGGATTCGTGCAACCGATCTCAATTAATTGCAAAAAAGCTATGACGATGATGAATAAATCTGCTTGATCTATTTTTTACGTATTATTGATCTCCATGTTTAGGATTATATATTCTTTAAAAATTAAGGATAAAATGTATTTCAAAAGTGGATTATATATTTTTTAAAAATTAGGAAAAAAAAATCTATTTCAAAAGTGGATTATTAAGAGAGCCTCGTTTCTGCATATAAGTCTGGGGACTCATAAAAGTGTGTCCTTAAATAAATAAATTGGTTATTAGGCCAAATAAAGAAGGGAAAGTTCATCCTCTTCTCTAACTAAAATGGCAATTATCACCGTCATTCTTTGTCGGTGTTTCAAAAACCAGACCGTAGGTGAACTAGCTTTACAAAAATCGAGTCTGGATCACCAATCTGTACATGTGTAATAGACCGATTCCTTAATGTGAGATAAAATAGAAAAAAACAAATATTAAAAAATTATAATAAGTGGAACTGAGCGAATAACGTAATCGCCCGATTCCAAATGCATCTGATGGTGGGGACCGATTCCCAATCAAGATCAACTATTCCCGATTCTTACCGACTAATTTTAAATCACTGCTTTTCACCCATGAGATTGCTAATTACACCCTGATTTTTTTATTTTGCAGCCATAATTTGGTAAGAACACGATAAACTGAGATTAACTTCGAGTCAAGAGACAAGAATTTGGACGTGATAGCAAGAACTTCGGTACGTGGTGCATATAGCAATACCCTGGTACAATGTATACATGTTAATCACAAATGTAATGCACGACATATAAACACTAATTATTCACTTGATATATTTATTAATGGAAAAGTTTATATAAGGTTGCAACTTCAAAAATACATGGGAGGTGTTGTTTTAATGTTGAAAAACCCTCTAATTGATCATCTCGACATCGGGATATATGGATATGAAAAAATAAAATAAAATTGAATCAAAAAAATAGTGCATCTTGCAACACATTATTTAGACCAATAATTTTCAAGATTTTCATATGTTTATAGATCTACTTGATTTTAACTATTTTTGGAGTTTAAAATTTTCTAATTAGATATAAATATAAATTTTAAGATATTCGTAAAAATATTTTACAACAAAATTAACTGCTATGATAAAATTTGGAGTGCGCTTTTATTGGATTATTTAATGTTGCAACTTTATAAAAATCACACCCTTTATTAATTGAAATGATTTGGACATTTATTGTGCTCCGGTACACTGCACCTTTCACGTTCAATGGTCCCTTCTGGAATAAGGATGTCGGTCACAAGTCCATCGTGGCCCCTTGTAATACATGTTGATTAGATGGCATGGTCATTAGGAAGTACCGTGTAACTCACTTACATAGGATCACAGCAAAAGCGTGGTCATACACCATCCCGAAGTAGGCTAAACAGTGATGAAGAGTGAGTCCCTTCAAACATGTAAGAAATTTTTTCGACGAACTCTCTCACAATCACCATCTCGCGTTTTATTCCACGGTGATAGCTATAATTATGTCATAATTAAGGTTTGAAAAAACACTGATCCGGATCAGAACGGAAAATCGTCAGGGACGAACCAAACTACTATTTCGATGCAAAAACGGTGGTTTGAAATTAGATACTATTATTACTTCTTTCTTCTTTAATATTATTATATTTTCATATTAGATTTTCTTTCTACTTTTTTACATTTTTATATTTGTTTATGATTGAATTTTTATTTTTTATTTGATTTATATTTCATATGGCAAAGACAGTCTTATTTTTCTACTAAATATAAATAAAAACTCATTGGCTGGGACAAACTGGTTCTCGCAAAATATTGAGAACCAACCAGTCCTCCCTCCACACGGCCGGCTTTTTACGGTTCCAATTATTTAGGGAAAACTGTAAAAAAAGTAAAAAAAAACCCCTTGACCCAACTTTCTTTACAATTTCCTCCCAGCCAATTTTTTTAACATAACTTTTACCCCAAAAATAACATTTATAGCAAATACTTCATAAATCAAAAAGTCATAGTTCTTTGGACCAAAATGCCATCTCTTTGGTCGTTGAATGTTGTCGGTCTGACAGATTGTTGCTGCGGTCCGACATTTTGTCGTTCTGGCGCTATGATGACATGCAGATTACTGCCGCAATTCAGTAGTTTTGTCATTCCGACGCTATGATGCATCTGGTAGTTTTGTCATTCCGACACTATGATGCATCTGGTAGTTTTGTCGTTCCAACACTATGATGCCTCGGTCCAGCATAAGTTGCATGCTAGTAGTTTTGTCGTTCCGGCGCTATGATGCCATAGTTTTGCCGCTGTGGCGCTATGATGCCTCAGTCCA